TTCTGTTACTACACTCGCCACTTACATGTAACGATGCTTTACAAGCTAATTCTCTTATTGAGGCTTAGGGAGTGGAGTTGATTTTGTCATGAGAGAAAGTCCTGTTACAGGAACTGAACCCAGGACCTTGGGATTAGAAGAAAAGCATCTTAACTATAGTAAGCTATAATTCAACTCCACTCGAAAATACTAAAAATGTACAGTAGTTTTCATTTGAATAGTTAGCTGCGCATTCTCAATTTTTGTACCCCTCACAACACCCCCCCCCCAGGCCAAAACCAGTCTATGCCACCGAGTACCAACCTTTGATCCTGTTGCAGCTTAGGTGCCAGCAGATTCCAAGTAGACCGAATGTCCACTACTTCAGCCTCACACAGAGCACAGAGCCCCTCCAAGGCAAAGCTTGCTGGGATAGCATGATGATCCTCAGGATAATTATTGAGAATAGTTGACAATGAATGCACAAGATCAGCTCCATGTTGGAATGGTCTGCAAGAAAACAAAGAACAAATGAAGACATTGAGAATAGTTGATAAAATTACACAAAATCAACTCCCCACATACTTGATTGGTTACCAAAAAAAAATTAACTGCTGTATGTAGCACCCTACACTCACTATTGTATATGTAGCAGAATATAAAATTGTTTGTTTATTGTTTTTCCACACACATTTTAGTAAGCTTAACACTCTGACTGCCAGGGGTTATTGAAAAAATAGTATCAGCCACCTCCAGATATTTTAGCAAATTTAACACTTTTCCGAAGCTCGTTGAGAGTGCGTATGTGATCAGATTGACATGTAGTGAATACTACAAGAACTACAAACATCTTAGCTTTACAATGGTACCGAACACTTTATTCTAATCACAATCAGTGACTCGTAAGAGTAAAATGAAAATGACTCACTTTTGGAAATTTATGCAATTTCGCACAACGAAGCTTAGATAATCGTGATTTTGTGAAAGTACATCAATACCGCTACGCTCAATGTAAACAAACAGATAGTGAAATACTTACGGTGGAGACTGAATATAGCGTTCAAATTGTTAGTACATGTCGGCAATTACCCCATCTATCGGATGAAACATGGAGATCTCTGTGTTTGGCGGTCAAGCGTTGTGTTACCAAACACGGAGATCTAGATGTTTGGCGGGCAGAGTGTTAAGATAATATATGCAATATAAGTTATAAATAATAAAAAATTGACTGAGAAGGGGAAAAAATAAGTAAATAAAAGTGTCTGAACAGAGAGGAAAATAAGTTTAAAAAAAACTTTACGGCATATCGCTACATTTAAAATCTATGCATAAATATACCTTGTTTTGCATATGTCTTTGATGGATGCTGTCTTTGCCAGTAACTCTTCATTATACTCGAAAGGTTTGCACTGAGTTTCTTGATGTTTCTCAAGGTTTATCATCTTTTGAAGATGAGGAAAACAACGATCCTAATAAAAGACAATGAAATTAATGGATAATGTGGATCTGTGGCTTGGTGGATTAAGAATAAGATACCTGCCTCCAGAGTATACCTATGGGTTCTGACCCGATTTTACCTAATAGATCTGAAAAGTATCAGTTTCAGTGACATCACCATTCATGATGACATCACCAAACCTGATTAGGAGATTCTGATCAGATGATTGATGCTGTCACCAGTATAGAAGTGTATCAGCATTTTATTTGTCACCGAAACTGATCACTTAGTTAGAATTGGCTGCATGATAGTAGGGTAAGAGGTGCTGGCAGGGGAAATTAGATGATTCTTAAATATTTTCCTGCTCATTTTCAGTGGGATGTTAAAACACTTTCTGGTGTATGATGTCTTTCCTATGCTTTACTTCAAGCATAGTGAAAAATCAGTGTGGCGCAGCATGTAAGGCACTGTGCTTTCAATCGGAAGGCAGGTGGTTCGAGAAGGATGCTTAACCATCTGCTTGTGTCCTTGGGCAAGAAACTTAGTCTGCATTTGCCTCTCTTCACCCAGAAGTCAAAAAATGGGTGAATGATTCAAAATGAAATAGTAGTGCTAGAGGAGGTTGCACATTATGTACGAATGATTCTGTACCAGGGAAAAAAGTGCCTTGATAGCTCAGACTCTCATTAATTGCCATTAATATAAAAAATTGTGCTAAGCCTACCTGTAGTTTCCATAAAACTGTCAGCAACCTTATTGACACAGCGTACATATCAGTGTTTGCTCCTAGCGACTGAATTACCTTCAACACTGGTGAAATGCAGTACCTATGAGTGGCAGTCTGGGGGATAGCATTCACAACTTTCAGAGTAACTGCAGGTCGCTCTTCGACTCCAAGTAAGTATAGTAATAAGGTTAATATACTGGGTGCCTGTAAAATATAATAATTGTGGCAAAGACAAGCCAAGCCAAACCAGTCACTCATCGCAAAATCAATTTTTAGTTATTAATACAGAGTTAAGCAGTAAAATTAGAGCTATAAAATGGTAAAAGAATCTGACATTTCGTTATGAAGTTACAGGAGTTTAAACATACAGCTGTTTAAAGAACAATATTTGAGAAATCAGTCTTCAAAGTTTACGATTTCAGGCATTTCTTAGGCAGAAACCAGCACCAAATCATTAAATATTAATGTTTTAACATGGAAAATGAGGAAACCAACAGTATGATGTAAAGGTTAGTTTAGTGCAATAAAATAGATTTCCAAAATTTTGACATTCCAGCTTGTTTTGGCCATTATCTCCAAAACAGGATTTGCGATGAGCGACTGGTTGGCTTGTCTTTGCCACAATTATTTAAAAATATGAATCTCTACATTTTGGAGTAGCTTATAGCAGTTCAGCTGGAGGTAGCCACTGTATGTGCTGAACTGTGGAGATCTTTTTAGGCTTTTCAGGGTTGCATTTTTATTGCTACTCATTTTTGTGTTTGAGCTTGAGGGCTGAAATGCTAAATTACATTAGCACAATATCTTTGAGATGAGACATTTGAGCTGTTATTGCTGCGTAATATCATATGGTCCATGTTTTAAGAATTAAATTTAACTTTGATTATTGTACAGATGACACATTTTCTTTCTGTGAGAAAAAGAATTTACATAGATTATTTCGACTGCTATCAACAATTAGGTCTAATGCCACCCTGACACTTGCACGATTTTCGTACCCCCACTGGCGAGCACTTCGCGGGAACGAGCGTGAGGAGTATGTGAAGGGTGCGGGTGTGCATGCCATGTCGTAGAGAGAATTTGGAAATGTTCAAAAATGCGGCACGAATCAATGTTCATGCCGTGAACACTGTGCGAATTCGGCACGAACACTGCCGACAGTGCGTGTCAATGAAGAATGCTCTTCCTCTTGCTGCCTTTTCTCCTGCTCTTCTAGAAGTAATAGTCCTGCAGCTGCCAGATATAGACACCTTCTCTGTTCTGTAATAACACTGTCTCTGTGATTCAGCATGTTGTATCGTCCACAGCGATCCCTAAGAAAAATCTACGCTATGTATATAGCGTGCCGCCAGGAGGGACAAAGCGCGACCAAAAATTGCCACGGCGACTTCACCCATGAGCGAAGTCGTTGGGACAATGCGTGTCGAACCATGAGCGAAGTCGTTGGGGCAATGCGTGTCGATGCGGGAAGAAAAGAACAGGCCGCAAATAGGGCTTCACGCTCCGCTGAATACCACCGAAATGGCACGCCTTGCCACAACGCTTTGTGCGGCAATGTGGGGACAAAAGTCGTGGAAGTGTCAGGGTGGTATTAATCAAAACATAGTAGAAGACCATACCTTTGAGGGATTCAACCTAGCAATGGCCAGTAAAGTCTCTAGACACCCATCTATCTGATCCTCATCTCTTCTCATCAGGAGGGATGCTACAACCATCGTCACATACTCCGACACAGATTTCGCACAGCTCAATTTTGACTGAATCACGGACAACCATTCATGTACAGCTTTTTTGCTGTCATGGAGAACTAACAGTAAGTGTGTATATGTTTTGATGTCTACGTAGGAAGGACATAAACTTATTCCAGACTGACTTTCAGTATTTACTTCACACTTGGATGAATCTATCCCATAATTTCTATCTTCTGATTGGTTTTTTTGAATAAGACTGAGACAATATGTAGCTTTCTTCTCGATCCTTGACAGCTGGTCCCCATGTACTGACGGTGACACAGGAGGTGATGCAACATCTAGATGTGTATAAGAGACAGGTACCTATGAGTGGCAGTCTGGGGGATAGCATTCGTTTATCGTTTTGAATAGTTAACAAGATATTTGTGAACTGGCCGATAAATGTTGTAACTTCTGCCATATGTTGTGGAAGAGAAATCTGAGAGAAATAAAGAAAGACAATTAATAATTTAAGTTTAGTGCTTGAATCAGACCACTAATACAAGACACCCTTTTGCAGTTGGTCCCAAGTCCCTTTGCGAGATGCGGGAGTCTCTCAGAAATCCAAAAACCCAACTGAACACTACTTCATTTCCCAAAAAATTTGGGTCACCAAAATAATTAGGAATTGCAAATCTTTCTAGGATTATAATAAAAAATTAGATTTTATATCATGCTAAAAAAAGTATAGTATGGAAAACTATGCAAATAAGTAATATAAAACACCACTGGTGCCTAAATAGTTCTCACTGATTAAGAAAAAATTTAGCGATTGGAATCCAGTCTACATATTGCCTGGACTTTGCTTGAGAACTCTTGTTTTATAGTATCCATCACTACAATTTATTGTACAGTAACTCCTACCTGTAAGGCAGGTATACATTTTACGAAGAAGTTGATAATTGTTTGAGAGAGTACTCCCTCATCGTATTGACTTTCCACAGAGCATTGTTGAAGGAGGCTGTTGTAGAGGGCTGCTCGCAAACCAGCATATTCTAACGACTGCCCAGGTTCCAGAAACAGATACTTTAGGAAAGGTTCTAACATAGGTATAATGTATGGCCGAATGCTGAAATAAAAAATATGTAGAAAAATATAATGATGAGTAATAACGTTTTAAATAAAGTGTGTTAAAAAATGAAGTAAACTGGAGTACATGAAAAAAGTTTGTTTGGCATGTGCAGGTGATTTTTTTTAAGTGAGGATTCTCCCTCTCAAGACAGTAAGCAAAATATCTATTCTGTTCGATATTTTTTGTCTTGCGAGGTAGAACTATCTGGGCCTAAAACTCTGATCAGAGCATGCGTTTGTACTTTGTTATAAAAAATGTTCACAGCAAACTCACAAGATCCCCATAGGTGAGTTGGTCGCCGGGGGTGAGGCCGACGTGTGTACTCTTCATGAGGGACTTTCCCTTAGGAAGATTTTTTTAAAGAGTACAGTATGACCCTTCCTATTCTAACCGATAGGACTCTAGAAAGCATTCTGTACATAATGCTAAAAAGTAAGCCCAGAAAAGCATGGTTAAAAACAATGACCAAATCACAATTCTTAGGCTTATATTAAACCATGTGAATATAAAGTCCAATGTAGGTCGATCGCGAAAATGATAAATTGTTCCATAACTTGATGAATTGAGTTGCTTATTCCTCCATGAATAAAGACTTAAAGCCAGGCTCTGGATGAATAAAAAAATTGGATACGTTGTAAAACTGATTTTTAGATAAAGAATGAGATAGTGGCAAATAATGGTGTTACCTTTTATCTGTTAAGCTTAGAAGGTGTTGTACTTGATGGAGGATGACAGGCCAGTTGTTAGGACGACTCATAAGACAGGTGATCAACGGGTGAGGATGAGACCTGAAGGCAGAAATAGTAAAAAAAGTTCAGATACTGAACTTTTTATGATCCTTCTCTAAAAGGTAAGTTCTCTTGTATGAAATTTCAAAAAACATTTTTGATGCCCAAGCACAGTGATGTGGTCCCCACACATCCCACTAGATATGCCACTTTGACCTTTTCAATTCAAATTCAAAAAGACATTTATTTTCTTCCAGTTGCAGTCAAATAGTAGTAAAAAATCATTAACAACAATAGGTTTATGAGACAAAAGAACAAAATCAAAACGAGAAGATTTAAAAAAACAAAGGCCTAAACACAAAGTCACAAAAACACAGAGAGACACAAACAAAACAACACATACCCACACTTGCATGACAACAGAAATTGCAGTTTCATGGAGCAGCGATGGGTTTATTCGACTGGTTCATTTCGTTGAGTACGAATTTTCGTTGAGTATTATTTTCATTTGACTGGTTCGTATAACAGACTTCGTTGACAACGAAAATTAATGTAACCAGAATGCATTAATCAGCGTTATGCATGTGACCAAAAAAATATGGCCGATTGGTCAGTTTAGCAACAACATTTGCGTTAATATAATTTA